ACACCTAAACCCTGCGATCCGAGTCGCGTATTTTTCCCATCCCCGCCCTCGATTATTCCTAACGGCTGAGAGCATGGACATACAGGTTGAACGACTCGACGTGGAGAGGACCCGAGAGGATGTAGACGAGGACGACGAAGAGGAGAGAGCGCACCCACCTACCTCGCGGTTATCGCCGGCTTTATTTTAAATGCGTCCCTGCACTAATAAGCGACCGGGCTATTCGCGGTTAATAAATGAAAACGCAAACCACCGGCGTTATTATACTTGCAAATTACCAATTACGCCGGCACCCTCCCCCTACCCCCTTAGAACTGGGTACCGACTCGCGGGAGCGGAGGTGTTTATTGTTTTCCGTAAATCTCGAGGGTGGACGGGTCTCACTGGGAGGAGAAAGGAAGGTAAAGGGGAGAGAACACACAAAAGAGGAAATTACAAGGGGAAAATATGACGGAAGAGCGATACTTTTAGCTCCGATATGTGATCCAGGATAATAATGAAACAATAAAAAAAAAGAAACGGTACCTACTTCGGCAAATGTAAGCGGTCGGCTAGAATTTTGTATATAACTGTCTTCGTATAGGCAAGAAAAAGAGGTATTACTTCACCCTCAGCAGGAATTATATATCCATCGTTGCAATATAAGTTCTTTACTGGCGACAACAAATAATATACATCGCTCGTTTCGTCGATTGGTAAGAATATCTGTTTTGGGGGTGTTACTCCAAATTTATTTGCAAATTCAGCGAGACTTTTTTTTTTTTAAAGGAAACACTTAAGGTTGCATCTATGTCTGACGGAATTTCCAACATTTTTAGTGTGATTATAACTGTGACGAAAGTAATATTTTATTAGCAATGTTGTCCTTCAAGGGGGCAGATGTCTTTTATTCTGGGTACCTTTTAAGAAGTCAACTTGGTTATTTCATCCCACGTATTTACGATTCTTTTTAGTCAGTGCGCGTCCATAAGTGAATATTATTCCGGTTTACCCGAGCTTTCGGATAACGATCAACAATACCGATAACGCCAGATTCACCGGAGAGGCGAGAATTGCACGTACGTGCACTGAATTTTAGACCTTGGCGGGGAGAAGTTATCAGGAGCGGCTTAAGACCGACCTCAGAGTGCAAGGTACAATATCAATTTCTTTTTCACCAGAGGATTTTCGAGCCAAATATAACATTCTCTTCCAGCTAAGAGAGATTACGAATACCGGTGGATTATTTAAATTCTTGATAAGAGGTCGCATTCGCGCAATTCGATGCATGTAATCGGTCCTCCCCCGCGCCTGCCTCGATCTTACGACCTGCGAGAAGAATAAATACTGCCTGGCAGCCTCCAATGTAAACAGCCTAACCTAAAAAACCTAACCTCACCTAACCTAACCTAAAAAAAAACCTAACCTAACCTAAAAAAAACCCAACCTACAAAAAAACTAACCTCAAACCGAGAGACGCGATATTAATAAATGCACCACACGTCCCCGACGATATAAATAAATAATCTCGCGTAACTCGCGGACTACCATTGCTACGCCCTTCATGTAAAACGCGCCATTGAAACAATCCACAAGTACCTCGAACACGCATAAAAACCTTAAAAAGACAAACAATCTCGTACTGTCATAACACACCTGTCGAAAGTTTTACTGAAACACGGTGTACCAATTAGTACCCTCAAATAAAAATCTCCAAAGAACATTTATACATTTTTTCAAAAATCACGCGAAACCACATCACCGACTTTAGGAAATGACGAATCTGTTAAGAAATTCCCAACGTGCGATAATTCACTATCGAGACCCTAGGCTCATAATTACAGTCCGGCGCATTAAAGGTAGGAATATTATCTAGATATAATAATAATAAGTCCCTTCTACCCTCTCAACAGGCGTGTCCTTAAAAACCCGTGAGACCCTTTCCAAGCCTAAAATACCTTCAATTTAATCGTGGAAATTCTTCCCGGGAAATTTCGCGTCGAGCGGGAAATATGAAAAAATGGAGAGGGGGGGTCGATCGAAATGGCGCGTATCTCGATATCAGCGGGATATCTACGTCGTAAGAGGCATTTAATCGAACACTCGCCTATCTCCATCCCCGCTGCTTTCTCTCTCTCTCTCTCTTTTTCTCTCTCTCCCTCTTTCCGTTTCTGCTCTCTCTCTCGGCCTTACGTTCACTTCGCGGTGCGCGGCCGCCGGCTCACCTGTGCCGTCGGAATAAGGTTAAGTGACTCGTTCTCTTCTCCGCCGACGCGATCTTCAATACCGGCAGTCTACGTGTCAATATATAATAATCGGCGAATAAATGCAACCGCAATTAATATTGCCCCGGGTATTAATAATACCCCGCAATTAATAATACCGCGGGTAACCGATTTTCTCCGCCGTCGCGAAATATCGAGTACCGCGTCCCCCGGAAAAAGAATTCACAGTGAAGAATTCACTCGACGAGACATTTTCACTTCCAATAATAGAACGACTTTGAGTACGCCAGTAAAACTTTGTTACGTTGACGATAAAAAGGATTACTTCACTAGGGCAGCGCAAATTCCAATCATAGTTGCAACGTTCTCTTCCATCAACAGTAAATTCCTCACGGCATAAAGCCACCTATTTTATCCCCAAATCTTGCAAGTCTGCATCGACTCGTCGAAAAAGACCCAACTAATACAAAATATACTATTATGCTATAGTGATCCCTTCAAAGAGTCACAAAGCGAGAAGCGTGACCATCAAAGCTGCACATATAACGCGAGTGCCATTAATTACTTTGTAAATGAAACCCGGAATTTCAAGAAGCAAGAAAGCCCAGAGGTTAACATTCACCCCAGACCTACTTTGCGCTTTCAAAGATAAGAAGAGCCGAAAAGATCAGACCAGAAGACCTTCATCCGATAATCTAGAATCGAGTCAAGTCCGAAATTCCTCATTTTATAAAGCCACTTCTTTTATCCCTAAATCTTGCAAGTCTGCATCGATTCGTCGAAAAAGATCCAATACTAAATATACCATTACGCTCATCTAAAGTGATCCCTTCAAAAAGTTACAAAAATAAAGTGGAAAACGTGACCAATCAAAGCTGCACATATAACGCGAGTATCATCAATTACTTTGTAAATGGAACACGAAATTTCAGGAAACAAGAAAGCCTAGAGGTTAACATTCATCCCAGACGCTTCCAAAGTTGAGAAGAGCCGAAAAGATCATACCAGAAGACCTCCACCGATATCTAAAATCGAGTCAAGTCCGAAATTCCTGATTTTATAAAGCCACCTCTTTTATCCCCAAACCTCGCCGCGTCTCGCGGCACAATACCTCCGTGTGAGATCCATCACATCCTCGAAACCGGGATGGCCCCAATCCTCCGGGTGTACCGATCGGTCATCCCCCGAAATCCGAATCGGGCATTAACAAGGCGCGATCACCCGCGAAGAAAAAGGAAACCCTTGAGAGGAACGGTCCAATAAAAAAATGAAAAAAAAAAATAAATAAAAAAAAAGGTCGAAGCCGATCGACTCGCCAAGGAGGTCGTTTCACCTGCCGTAGAAATTCGAAGTCGCCCCCTCGCCGAGCCGAAGCTTTCAGTCGAATTCTATAGAAATACATCCGTTCCCAAACACCATTCACCGTGTTCTCTGGATCCAATTCTAACACCCCCTGCCATCATTGCCCAATTCTACGATCATTCCGTTCACCTTACCCGGGTGTGAAAATATGATACACATTTCTTCCGAGTCACCGTCCACACAAAATCAAGTTTGCTCACCCTGGAGAGCGACCTCCTTGAGCATTTAGGATATCCGATGACAACGATCGATAAACCGACCTACATCAATCGATTAATAAGAATAAAGTCGGAGGCGGTAGAAGTTGGGGGAATCGATAAAAGAAACGTCGAAGATATCCGATGATAGGCAAATAAACCCATTTCTTCTCTGGAACGTAGGATCTTAAAGCCGTTTAGAAAGTCCCTACGGATTTGACTACAATGTGAGAGAACGCGAAGTTAGGATACAATGTATTGAATCGGTTGCCCTGAAACCGCAATTTCGAAAGGCGGCTTCGCGTTACCTACCTCAAAGAAAACCGCCGAGAAAAATTACAGCCCGTCCGGATTTCCATAAAAATAATTAAGCCGCGTTATCGTCATCTACTACAATAATCGAAGTCGTATATTAACTGGAAAATGAAAATTCAAACGATTGCGCCCGTGAAAAGTTAACATTTCTTCTCGAGGAAATTTCCGATATCGTCATTGATATTAAACAAGTATTAAGCCGTGTCTAAGGTGGTATTTATTTATATTCGCAAAGGTGAATTAGGACTTCGGTAGCAACTCGCGGGAATAGTAAATCGTACCGCTTCTTCCTGTTCTACGACATTAAGGTCATATTTATATCTCCGTGCATGGCGCAAACGAAACCAAACATTGTATCAAATTCCGCGCTCCGCATTACCCGAGCGTAAAGATTTGTTTACCAAGCCATCCCCTCTAGTACAATCGACACCATGGGCGCGAGACCTAACCTAAAACCCCACGATCGACCTCACCGTCGGTATTTCAACTAGGAACATTAGAACCTTTCCCCGGAGAGGCTTTAATCCCGGAAACGAGACTTATCTCCGCTCCCATGACTCACATTCGGTCTTAAAAAAACCTCTTCTCAAACTATAAAGGTGATGGATAAAGTACGTCTTTCTACTCTAAAAGTGCGACGCGAGTACAAGACTTGTCCAACACTTAACCCACACTTTTAGGGTGAAAAAACATCATTTAGCCATTTAAAGATCGCAGATAAAGTGTTTTCTAGACGTTCAAAGAGTACATTTAAAGGACGCCCTTCGGCGGTAAAAGCGAGTCACGGGTGAGGATCTTCAACCTCCATTTTGTCAGACCTCCAAAAGGCAGAGATAATACTATCACTTTTTCCAAACTCGATTAGCGGAGGGAGCACCCCCACCCGCGGATACGCGGTCGCGATTCGGCGCATCCCGCTTACCTTATCGCTGCTCGTCGCCGATCCGGGGCGGATAAGGCGAAGGCGCGGGAGCGTCGCCGAGTGGGGGCCGCGTTATCACTAGTTAGGTTAGGCACCAACACACTGCACACACACACACGGGAGGCCGGCACATGGCGTAGCGGACAGAGTCCCGGTCAGAGCACCCTCTCTCAGAGGCAGTTTGTCCCAGGAGGCTCGGAAGTTCTCGCGGCGGCGTCGTCGCCGTCGGTCCGTCCGTTGCAACGCCCGGGGCCCGGCGCGTCGACGCGCGGCCTGGAGGAGCCGCGAGATACGGCTTGCACGGAGCCGAGGGCCCGTCGGGTGATCGGCGCGATGCTGCTTGGCGCGCAACTCTGGCTACTCTCGGGAACGCGCGCGCGCACGGCTCGCCGATGCAACTGTCGTGGCACCCGGCGCGGAACTAAGGCGCACGAAAACACAGACTCGCCGTGGCCCCCACGTTCGGGCGCGTTCGGCTACTCCCGCGCGCGCTCGGGGCGGCTCGGACACGCCCCCCGGCCCGGGCCCGGCCCCCCCGCGGGCGGAACTTGCCCGCGACGAGCCGCGCGCCCGGCTCGCCGCCCCACTCCCGCCACGGAGCCCCCACCGAGCGGACGTGCCTGTCAACGCGCGCCGCGGCCCGGCTCCCGACGCCGCTTTCCTGCCTCCCCGAGCCGAGAGTTTTTTCCCCCGGCTTTCACGGGAACTTTGCCGAGGCTTTTTTCTTCCTGGGTATTAGATTGACGGTTTTATTTGTCCTTCCAGGCCTCCTCGTGATGCCGGGTTTCGGAAACACTGTCGCGGACCCACGGCGCAGAAGTCGAAGAAATCGTCGGCAGTTGGGGGGATGCGAAGGGGAATTGATGTATATAAGTATTGTCAAATCGTGTTAAGTAGACTTTAAGGTAAATAAAGATTGTTGAGGAACTATGGGTTGTTGGCTTAAATTGGAGAGATCTGATAGAGTGACGTGTTTTTTTACAGGAGAGATTTTGTTGTATTTTATTGAAAGATATGGTAGGATATTCGGGGAAATATATCTTGGGGAGAGGATATTTACGGAAGGGTGGAACGACAGCAGGGTGTCTCTTTCCTTTTGTCCTTCACGGAAGATGCCGAAACCTTGCGACGGACCGTTTCATTCCCTACGTCTAAAACTCGAATATGATCACCGATGAATTGAGATACTTTCCTAAAAGAGTTTATATAATATATGGAAACGGCACGAGCCAGCAATGAGCACTCCGTTAAGGTGTCAGTGCGATCATAAGATTCATTGCACCCGCGGTTGCTATACAAGGGTGCCATTGGCAGCCACGTCCGCGATCGTTTGCCAAATCATGCTACAACGTTTACAAACCTGTGAACATACATACATGCATAATTTACTCTAGCTTCGATCACCGTAGCCGAACAGCCACACGCTCATAACAAATTCTCCTACGGAATAGAATAGAATTTTAACGATTCCACGCGACATTTCTGAAATCATTGGCACGAACATTATTTACATTCCCTTGAATGATGAAAATCTATTTTTATATTGAATTTCCTTAAATTACGTGCATTCTAAATCCATGACTCAATTGCCGAGATGGTTGACCGAGCTGAATACTTTCCTCGGTGAGCGCTTTCAAGAGGGCGAAAATAACGTGATTCTTGATCTTACGTGAAAAGGTGTGAAATCGACACCGGGGTGTAGAAATTTCGAGCCCGGAAAATCCTGGGGGACCTACGCGGGCACGTGCCCTCGCGAGGAGATCGCGGCGACGATAGGTGCACGCGTACACCCATGAGGAGAGTCAATCTTGATACCGCGAGCCATCTAGATGAGATACGACCGGTCAGATAACGACCCGTTCGAAATCTGAAGTCTGAAATCTGAGCGCAACACGTCGCGACGGAGTTACAGGTTGACCCGGGTCAGGGTACCCTGACGTTACCCTCCCTTGACGCGGAAAGGATGCGCATCATCTACTATTTAGAAGATGTCCGATAAGCGGGCGTTACTGGGGCACGGTCCACACGATACAGGTGCATTAGGCAGATGTACCCACCAGCAGACATCTGCATGGCCCTAGTCCAGTTTTCGCGGGATAAAAACCTAATATATGATTATTAACAACGTCAAGCCATAAGATGTTACACGCGAGTTGGAAATTTCCCCCATTTTCAATGATAACCAGGTAATGATCTCCATTAAATAAACGACAGCCTAACAATACCCATGAAATCTCATTTCTTTCATCGTCATATTTTCCAACGAAATCTGACTTATCGAAATGAAATTTATAATTCATTTCCGAACAAGGACCAAAGAAAAGAATTCCTTTCGAGGATTGCAATTCCGTCAGTTTCAAAACCTTCCTTAGGACCTCCGTAATCACGTGTTAAGGTTTCAAATTACTCGGTACACCCAGTTTGGAGGAAGGTGTAATGAATATTTTGACTTATTCATACGTATTTGTGAATGTACACCTTTAATTCGCAAGGGACCGGAGCTCCTCGATTCGCCGCAAGAAAGTTGCGTGGAGGCGAGACGCTTCCTCGAAACACAGGCTCCACGGTCGAGCCGAGAGAGCGAGACAGAGAGAGAGAGAGAAAGAGAGAGAGAGAGGCAACCTAACCTCTGAAAGCGTCGAGGAAACCGGGTTCGCGGAACTCCGCGGTCCCCCTCGACGCCGGGCGTCGGGCGGGCCGCGTCCCTAACCCGAGCGTAACCAGTCTCGGCGGACCTCGGCTCCTCCTCGGCGGGGATAGAACGATTTTCAGGGTAAAACGTCGGAGGCCTCGCGGAGTCGCGCTCGAGTCGGCCGGCGTGCCTCGCGGGGTGGGGGTAGAGAGGCGGGGAGGGGCGGTCGGGCGCGGGAGAGGGGGGACGGCGTTGCCGGGTCGCCGGGCGGCTGGAGCGGCGCGGCGCGGCGGAGTACAACCGAACAATCTGTAGGAGCTTGTCCAGGACGAGAGAAGTCCGTAGATCAGCCAATCAGATAGGCATTCCCCCTCTCCCCTCTCGTCCATTGTCACAAAATGGCGGCCCTAAATCAGGCTGACTCCGCCTATCGCCTCTCCCCACCCTGAGCGCCTCTCGCGGCGCGTCGCGAAAAACTCCGCCTATCGATTTATTTTTACCGCTCGCGTCCTCTCTCCCTCTCTCTTGTCCTCCCTCCTCGCCTGGTCGACCCTGCCCGTCTCTCTCTCTCGCGCGCGCCGGGCCACGCCACTGCGCGCACCGCGCGCCGCGCAACCCCCGCGGCCGGCAACGTTGCCACGCGTTGCCGCGCTATTGCCGCGCCGGTCGCGCGCTACCGACGCGTGCGGGACGCGCGCGGCGCGCGTTACGCGTTACGCGTTACGGCCGCCTGTTTCCACCCGGCAACTCCGGCTGACCGGGCGTTCCGAAATTCACCCGTGAAATCCTCCGACCTACGTCGCCGGTCGACGCCGCGGCCACGGATAGATGGCGGGCCGATCGCTCTTCGCGCCGATTCTATCAGACACTAGGAAAGAATATGTGACATTTGGCGAGATGATTTAACCGGGATTTCTATCGAATACATGTTCTTATATTTGGCAAAAACAGTTGGTTTCAGCTTTTCGTGGAAAGGATGCAATTTGGGCAGTCGATTGAGCGAAGATTAATGTACTTGGATAAGTCTTTGTACACCGAAGGTGTGTTATGAGGGGTCATTCTTCGCGCCGCTTCTATGAGACAGTATATTTCTATGAGAATTTTATGATAATAATAATTCCGGTACTGAAATTAAGTTATAAGGATAAGATATAATAATATATTCTAGAGGAAGAGAAGGGGGAAGCATTTTTTAATAATTTGATAGGCTATGCTGAGATCAAGACTGTTGTAATGTATTAATTTTTTCCAGGGTATTTTCGGCATTTCCGGAAACGCTCGTCGCATCGATAGGCCGTCGTAAAGTTCAGTGTCCCGTTTTCTCTTCTTTTCTTGACCGGTCCCCCGGCGATAAGAGACTCTTGGATAAAGAAACGACGTCCCCGGAGGAAGGGCGGGGGTCCAAGGGAGGGGAGAAAAAAGCGGGAGAGGTCCGGAAGGAGGCACGGCATGCGAATATCTGAAAAGATGCAAGAGAAACGGAGCGGGGGTGGGGGCGCACGTACACGGGGAAAAGAGAGGAACTAGGAAGAGGAAACCCTGGTCCTCAGGGGCTCTCTCTCGAGATAACGTTTCTTCTTTTGTTTCCAACGGTGCCGTGGCAGCAGCTCGGAAATGTCAGCCTCCGAACTCGAATTTGCCGAGCGATAATAACTTCTCTTTTATTTTACCGCGGGCACAACTTTGACCGCCCTGCGGGAAGCAAAGTTTCCCGCGAGCGGAAAAACACCGGGAGCCAAATTTTCGAAAGGAACCGCCACCCTCCCCCACCCACACCCCGACGCGATCAATATTTCCTTCAAATGCGTACGATAAAATCATGCGTTACATTAAGCATTAATGATATAACATTAGTTACCGATCATAAATCTTGAATAATAGTGGACACCAAAAAATGTATGACAATCCGTAATTCTATCCACGAAATTGGTCTTGTAATAATGGCATAGATATTGTTGTTAGGGTGTTAAACTTACACTGAGAAAAAAGATTAGTCGACTGAAACATGTATATATTGTTGGCTGAACTTGCTAAACATTATATCGTTCATTTATACGAATTTTCTTTACTCTTGACATTCCTTTGGACGCATTTGATCGCAGGATTTTTAATTTCATTCCTCAAAATGTCGTCGGTTTTCGTATTATGCAATTACTTATGAATAAATTAAAATTGTTGTTACTGTTCGAGAGAGTGACATTTTTTCGCAGCAGATTCGATGACGATATAACCCAATAAAGATGGATATACCCATGTACCAACTACATTCATTCTTTTCAACCGATGTATAAATGTTTATTGGCAAAAAGCAAAAAACACGTATTTCCTCATTTTTCGTGAGCAATCACATGGCGTAAGTGGAAGTTAAGTAGGAGTGCTTGTTTAATAGATATTAGAAAAAAATTTCGCCTGAAGGGTAGTTCACCCCC